ATCATAAGTGCCATCGTCATCATCAACTATCCTCATATGAAAGCATCGATAACAACATTTTATGATCAAGATCGAACTTTTATTGAAAGTTGAAAAATTATGGTAGACAGGTGGCCTGCCCATTTCAAACGGCCTGCCTGGCCTGTGTGAGATTTTGGCCTGCACCAGGCTTGAAAATTATGGCCTGAGCCTGCCTGCCACAGGCAGGCCCAGGCAGGCAGACAGGCCCCATGGCCTGTTTTAGGCTCTGGTGTGTACTCATCCATGGCTTCTGCTCATGTTTTCTCTACTAAATGTGGTGGGATTAGAGCTAAACCTATCGCACATAAAAACCATTGACTAGCCTTATTTTTTTCTTCAGCAGTAGTTGTATTCGAAACTATTAAATTTGAATATTTAACATAACGAGTGAGACCCAATTCTTGGATTTTTCGCCCCAGCGATTGTGAAAAATGGAAAAAGCACCCCGAAACGTGTATTGTAAGAAAAACTGTTTTAAATGCGTTGATTGCTGCTAATTCATAATCACATGTTAAACGTTTTGGTTTAAGACTAATTTCTTTTTGTCCAGCAATCATTAATAAATGGTGCAACATTTTCACATAAACATGTTCGTCTTGCTTTGTTGTTAAGCAATAGACACATGGTATCATCATATTTATTAAACCCAAATATAATATAAAATTGTCAAAATAACAAAGGACGGCATTTGTATGTTCCATCAGAATGTCATTGACTACAAGAACTTAAGAATTGTATGCTCGAATTTGAAGCAAACATAAGAAGCCGATCTTGACCATCTATAACATAAGTAAAATATTTCAAATGAAAAAAACAAAATTCCATGCAAATCTCATCGACCAGAAGAAAAGGTTCGCCCAGAGAACCAAGTTTCCACCCATCTGGAATTATAAGATCATGAATACCTTTTGGTATATTTGGATCATTTTTAGCACGTTTGCGATATGAACTTGAATCAATACTATCTAATAATGGAGAAATTGAGCCGATGTCCATATCAGGATTATTAACACGAGTTTTTACAACTTCTTGTGAATATATTTGGGAGATCGGTAAAGTTTCTATAGCTGCTCGTTTTTTCATACGAGATACAGCTTTTTCAGCGATAATTTTTTCTGACGACGAAGGGGTACAAGTATGTTGACCAGGTTCTCTAATGATTGATCTGTTATTCCGCCATAATGATAACGAAGTTGTACATGGTCTTCGTCTACACCGTCATTCGTTAGTATTTTTATATTCACATTTAATTGTATATTAGTAATCTTGATAGTTAAGTACAAGTGCATTTCGATTAGTTGTTGTAAATTCTATTGACTTATCGTTCATCTTTCGAATTTGATGTATCTTAAACAATAATCGCTGACGCGTCTGCTAGTTTAGACTGAATTACTCTCTGAATTTTTCTCGACCAATGACCAAGCGTGATGTAATTTGGTAAATAGTTATTCATGAAGACATGTGAATATTTATCATATTCTTTTTCATTGAATGCAAAATGACCAAAGAGAAAAGGGACCCAAGTGAGACATCATCAAATGGGACCGATTTGAGAAAGGACCGAAGTGAGAGGTCATCGATTGGGACCGAAACGCAAAGGGAGCGATTCGGACTGAATCGGGTATAAACCCGCTCATCGCCCTATGATATTGTTTTCGATTCATTAAAATTTCAGTCAAAACATCAATCATATTTCCACTAATTTTGTTCTAATAATACGTTTGTTTGTCGATCTATTTTTAATCGTATAGTCTTAAGATAGATTATAATTGGGTATTTTTTCTCTGAATTATTTTCTAAATGAGATATTTTATAAGACTTAAAGATAAAATAATATTAAGTTAAAACTGTTAAAATGAATAAAATGCATATAATAACTTTCTTTCTCTTTCTCTTTCTCCTTCTCCTTCTTTTCCTACACTACTGTAATTTAAAGAAGAAATGTTTCATAGAAAAATCTCAACCTGCTGCATATATAAACTGTTTAGAGAAAAAAACAAATTCAATGTTAACGTTCACGTAAAAGATAAATCGATGAAAATCTAATAGTTTTGGAGATAAAGACAGTAAAAAAACAAAAAAAATCTATTTGATATTTTTGATAAATGAGATGTTAAAATATAATATTATGTATAGAATCGTTTATTTTGACTAAACAAAAAAAAACCATATAGAAATAAAAATATAATTATTTCTAAATCGATATTATCAAATATAAAAATAAATTCTTTGAAAAATTTTTCTTAATTTTATCTCGATTAATTTAAATATATTTGATAGATTTATAAAAGAATTTTGTCATGAAGAATAGTTTTAATAGGTTCTATTAAATCATAAAAACGTAGTATCAATGTCACATTATATGTTAAACAAGGTAGAATTATATAATCATATATATTA